AAAAATATATGTACACAACGTAGGTATTCCTTATGCCGATCACATATGTTTGGCCACAACTACGTTTGTATTATTTTTTTATCGAACCTAGGGTTGTTATACTACAAGTTGAAGAAAATTTTTCCCCAAGTCCGTGGAAAAAAAAGAAAATTTACAAAATTTTTGTTGCGCTATTTCTTAGAATTGCATTATAACCGTTAAAAAATTTCGACCGAAAGATCTAAAAACTAGAATCTTAGGGCTTCAAAATGCTTTTTTTAATTCCCGATACCATTTTTCACCTACAGTGTAGGAAAGTACCGATGGTCTATCAGAAGTTATGTGAGAGCGATAAAGTAAGCCATATAAATCCATGTGATAGACAAGGATGGCTATAATGAAGGCGTCTAATAGTCAACGCCCATTTCGCCCTTCCACAAATAAGAAGTGGATCTTATTTAAAGGTTTATGATTTTCATACATGTATTTATGTATTTATTTAAATTTTTCCATTAACTACTTGCTTATGTAAACATATATATATGTATGTGTATGGGTGGGTAAGTGAGTATGTGTGTGCCTAGTTATATATTATATATATATATATACATACATATTTACCCACAAATATAATTTTTATATTATTCTCATACGATCAATTATCACTGTTATTATGTATTTACATTTTTTACCAAAAAAGCTTAAAATGATCTAATCAGATTTTAAAAACTATAGATTCTGCATGTATTTATAAATAGCAAGTCCCCTGCATAAGCAGTTTTTCTCGACATTTTCGTTTGAATAAAATTTGCTTCCTGCACACCGTGTAAAACACCCCATCTCAAAAGAGAGGATAATAATCCTGCATCAATTTCTTTATAATTAATAGTCAGTTAAGGAGTTCAAGAGTCATAAAATTAATTTTCTAATCGTCACAGGTGTTAATCTCTGCAGATAATGAATACCAATGGCATTTTTATCCAAACTGTGCAATCTATATTACTAAAAAATCCTTGTTTCCCAATGAATTACAAATTAATTCCAAAATTGAATACTTTCAAATCGTCAACAAGGTCGTTTCGTACGTATTTAATTCTACATCTACATACAAAGGCAATATTACAGGATGGCATAATCTTAATTATCTCACATTATCATAAAAAAGTAAGAAATAAATACTTAACTTGACCGTTGGCTACCTTG